TTACTTCTTAAGTATAATTTTATGATTGGCTCTTAACTCTATTTCGTTTTCGTAAAGTGCTCTCAGCGCTTGCGACTCCGCGACTGAGCAGCTCGGGCTCTTTGGGGACCGGCGCCCTCGTTCCGAAGTCGTGTGGAGACTCTCGAGTTTTTGAAGTCGTGCTTCTGTTGAATAAAGTGGTCCTTTAGTGCCAGATAAAGACCCTCAAGGAGGATAAAGGGAGAGAAATCTGAAATAAGCAAGAGAAAGAAGGCCCCCTGAAAAATGGGAACAAGTTTTATATGCTTGTTCCTATGTTAGAGCTGTTTTGCCTAATTGAAGGACTCCTTCCAAGAAGTAGTATAGGTGTGAGCATTTTGTTTATCTTCTATTTTGATACCTAGTTGAAGATAAAACTGATGGAGCACTTTCCACCTTTCTGTATGTCAACTATGTTTGATAATTATGGAATTAAAACAATATATTCTGGTATCATATTGCAGATACTAAGATAACACTTTGTTCCTCAAGTTAAAGTACTTGATGAATGGACAGTGAGGGTAGAATGGTACTGCACGATGGCTGGAAAACTAATTTCTATAATAACCTCAAAAATTATGTATAGTACCATTAAAAAATTATTTCTATGTTAAATTGGTCAGGTTATGTGTACCACCATTATTGTTATCTCACTTTTCTCTTAGGTTTACAAAAGACACTGCCAGGTTTAAGGATGAATTAGATATTATGAAGTTCATTTGCAAAGATTTTTGGACAACGGTATTCAAGAAACAAATAGATAACCTAAGGACTAATCACCAGGTATTAATGCTGAAGATTAAGATTTAATTTAGAAAGTTGGTGAGAATTTTGAGTTGCTAGTGCATTTTTTGTTTTGCTTGGTCAGAAGTAATTACCAGATGAGAAATCCAAAATGTTCCATATTTGTTTTGTTTAAAAAGTGTGGTTTTCAATATTCATGTTATCATGTAGCTTTAGAATACAATTTAATAATTGCCTTTATAATGTCTTTATTGCCTCCCTGTTTGAAAAGACTAAATGCTTTGAATTTCATATGCACTGTTTCAGTGTGACAGAAAGGACAGTAATGATTACAGTTGATGAACATTTAAACAAGAACTTTTAAATCTGTCTCTTAATAAATGTTAGTAAAAAAAATAGTGAAAAAGTGATGTTACTCTCTTAGCATTTATTTAAATAGAATAGCTGCAGTGAATTGACTTTTTTACTTTGAAGAATGTTAAGAACTTTCAGCAGCTGAGACAGTTGTAATCTATTGAAAATACTTGTATAAGAAGCAGCGGAGAAACTTCTCAGATTTGCCTGTTGGTGACATTGTACTGTATCCATGTGTTTTCCTATATCAACAGCCAGAGTTCTTAAAGCTAGATCAAAATAACTTAAGGAGCCATTTTACTAGACTAAAAAATCTTTTTCCTAATTGAATCACTTGTTTTTCTTACGGCCATTACCCTGTTGTGTCAAATTGGGAAGAAAAGGATTTGTACAAGGATTGTGCCGAATATATGAGTTTTATATTACAGTGACTTAATCACGTAATAAGAGATAATTATTACTTTAGACATCTGGGGGTTTAATTCAAAAAAGCTGTAGTATTGAGCTTAAGGTCTTAATTGTATATGCAGCCTTATTTTAAGTTCAAGGCTTGTAAAATTCTGAAGTAGCACAGTAGCAAGGAAATTAATATGACCAGTGTAGATAAAGCTATACTGTGTTTATACTTAATTTATTAAGATGCCTATTGTTGCACAAAATTGTATTGTAGAAAACACCAGACCTTTACTTTGATTGTCTGCTGGGTGTTGTTGCCTGTACTGCTATTAAGTAAAACCCCACTGAATTTGAGAATAAGAATAGAGATGTGCAAAACCCAATGAGGATGGAGATTTGAATGTAAAAATCAGTATGCATTTGGTATATTACCAGAGACTTTGTAATATAGAACTATTTTTTTCTGATCACTGGAAGTACTCTTCCAAGAAGAAATGTACATAAACATTTTTAGGGCTAACTACCATGTTATTATCTAGAGTTTTTTTGTATATTCACAATTAAGAATATTTTATTTTGATATTCCTTGTTAGTAAATAATACAATTTAAACTTAAATCACATATGCCTTAATCTAAAATTTTATTTTTCAACCTTATATATTTTATCTACAAATCAAATCCATTCACAGAAAATGTGGGGTTTATATTACTGCACATTTAACTAAACCTCTCAATTTTTTCTTTTTAAACAGGGTATTTATGTCCTTCAAGACAATAAATTCCGTCTCTTGACACAAATGTCTGCAGGAAAGCAGTATTTAGAACATGCACCAAAGGTACCCTTGTATTTTATGTGGGGCAGGGTCTACCAGTTTCATTTTAATTACCTTGATCTATTAATAACTTTAAATTTTGTAATTAAATAGATACAAATTCTTCTAAAGGGCACTTAAAGATATGCTTTCAGCACCTGTGTGCTTTTTACAAAGGCACCCTGTTTTAGAACAGTGGAGTTGATTTATAGTTTGAAAAATGGTCATAGTTGTTGTGCAACTTGCTGCTGTTACCCTTGAGTGACTTCATGGTGCAGGTGTTTGTCTGCCACTACCTGCCAGTGTCACACAAATTCTTTCTCTTCGGGAAGCATGGGTTTTCAGAAACCTTTAAAATTCCCAAAACATATTTGGACGATGCTATTTGTTACATAAAACAAGCTTCTGAGATTATGTGAGCATTCAGAAAGATCTTCTGCCAATTAAAAATGGTTTTGAATGCAGATACTGAGTTATGGTAATAGCTCTGTAGAACCTATCACAGAGCACTTTAGTTCAGGTGGATTAAAAAATGGGACATTAAGTTCTGTTTTGTGGTTTCTTAATTCTTGATCTTAGTCCTCCCAACTGGCTGCTGTCTTTGGGATTTTTTTTTGTGTGTTTGGTGAAATATTTATTTTGTTTTGCAACACATATTTTAAGTATCTGCAGGTGCTTGTATTCTAAGGTATGGCCTGCACAAGAATGCTGTCTTGGACTGTTTCTTCTTACCAGTTGCTAATTTTAGCCAAGTCTTGGGAATAATTGTTTTAAGGATATTAAGTTCCTACAGGTTTAATGGAAAGAGAAGGCGACTCAGAATACTGCCTCTAATGAGAACAAGCTGTGTAGTAAGCTCTACTCTACCAAATATTGGGGGTTTCATCTATTAGAGACCTGACAAAGTCTCAAAACCTCCATGGTTTTCTGTTCTCCAAGTATTAAGTTGTGTTCTTGAGTACTTTTCAATCTTTATCAACAAGCTTCACTGTTGACACTCATTTGAAGTGCAACTTCTTATTTAGTATTTAGCATTCACCTGTGGACTAATCAGAGGAGGCCTATCAAATCTGGGAATAAAGAGTATTGTAACAGCTGAAGTTTCATCAATGCCTGCATGTAAGTAGTACTTGGAGTATTCAATTATTGGCTCACTTGGTAACTTTCCTGACTGACTGTGTTGCTGCTATAAGCATTTTTCAAGGTGGGAATTGTTTGAAGCTGCTGGGCCATAGGAGCCCATGTGAACTTCAGGATATGGCTTGCTACTATATCCTTTAGTATTTAGAAAATACTGTCAGAGGATAAGCCTCCATGATGTTGAGTGGAAAGCAAAACTACAAAGTTATATTTACATTTAGAAGCATCAAACATGTAAGGATGTGTGTCCAGAAGGTTGATTGCACAAGGAAGCTCTTTCTCTATAGGAGTCATTAAGGATGTTAGTGAAGACCATTGTAACTACATAAGCTGCTCCATTAAAAGTTTCCACCGACTTAGCACAAAACTTCTGTGATGTGGGACATGGCCAACTTACAGAAAAAAAGAAAAAAGTTGTTCAGCATGCAAATAGAATTTAAATGCTAAATTTAAGAAGTGGCTCAACAGCTTACATTTAAACTGTAAGATCGAAATGTTCCTTACTATTTATTTGAAAAAAAATTTACAAGAAAATAATTACTTGGAGAAATAATTCTGATGGTAATAATGTAATCTGACTCTGCTTTTCCTGCAGGTAAATTTCAGGTGATGATACAGAAGATGTAGAGCACATTCAAATCTGGGTATCTACTTTAAAAAGCCTTTGTATGTGGATTCAGTATCGTGGTTCAGTCTTGTATATAATGTGTAAATTATAGCAGTGTGCAGCACAATTCCAAAATATGTAATAAATGCTCATTGAAATAACTTAACGCTATGCTTGTGTCTTGGTATGAAATTTATTCTATACTAAAGTAATAATTTATACATGGTAAAACCCGTGTACTCTATATAATATTCAGCAAAACATTTCAATTACCAAAAGAGCCTGGAAGACCACAGACAGAGTTTGAGAACAGAAAAATCCTGACCAAGACTAAATTTGAGTAAGAAACAAGTGCATGTTGTGTTGCCTGACTAGAATGCCCAACTGCTACCTTTCCCCATTCACTCTGAACTGGGAGGCAGCAATTGCTTTTGTATTTTTTGATGGAGCCTGCTAACATGTGAACTAACAGCTCACACATCATTAAAGATATTAGGCGAGACCTTTGTAGGATTGTAGTTTGGGGCAGGAGAAGAAAACTTGTTTTTACATAGTTCAACAGTTTCTCCTGTCCCTAAAATTAGCAATTGTTCCTTGTGTCAGAATGATTTATGCCTAAGGGCATCTATACTGGCCAAAGAAGGAAATTTATTCCACCTTGTTATACATAAACTCAATATTATTGTAATTGTTTTTAATTGCTAGCTATGGTTTACTTCTGCAATGTACTACTCAAAAAGTAGTAATGCTTACATGAAACAATTGTTTCAGTAATGTGTTCGCTATAATTGAACTGCTGAGCAGTGCTAAAGCTCAGGCACCAAAACTTGAAGAAACATGTTTAGCCATAACTATAAATTTCTATAGTAAGGCTGCCATTAAATAATATGGAGTAAGAAAACCCACAATGTTTAAGAACAGTCTTTAAAATCCTTTAGTTTTATTTAAAAAGTCCTCAATAAGTCTGTTAGAAAAAGAATAATAATTTGTAATGTAACCTCAGACTTCACCTAATAGCAGTGTCCATAGATTACTCAGATGGTAGAAATTTCTAACCAAGAATGTAGTTTACAAAGAGAGGAGCTTGAGAGATGATGCTGGACGCTTCAGTTACCACTTTACAATGATGGTGATGATTGTATTGGAGACACTGAATCTCAGCTAAAACTCAGCTGATGTTATTCACAGCTGTCCCAAATGCTTTAGTGTGAGGGTGTTCTGAAGGGATTGTGTAATACTTCAGGTCTCAACAGTGCAGTCTCTTGCTGTTAACTCTGATAATGCTGTCATATAAATGTACTGTGGCAATGCAAAATACCGGATATTCTCAATACAGCCTAGGAAGGCTCATCAGCCAGGTCACGTTGATCGAAGTACCTACGAATGAAGCGGAACATGGTAAGAAACTTCCAATGCAACATATTCCTTACTTCAAATTGTCCAACACATGCTTTCTAGCTCATCTTTTAGTATTTCTATCAATTATGGCTTCATGGTTCAGGGGGCTCATCTGAAGGCAGGAATAAGCTTACTTTTCTCTTAGGTATATCTTAGATCCTTTCAGCTAAGTATATTTGCTATATTGGCCCAGCATACTTTTACTGACTTTCACTTTTACAAGGATTTAGGTTAGTACAAATAATCGCACATTTATGCTGGACATACATTACTGGTTGAGGTGTATTAAGTTGCATTACCTACTAACTAAGCAGATTATCAAGTTCAGAGCTGATATTTGTTCTTCATTCTTGCTCTCCTGGAAAAGAGAGAAATATTACAGCAATTCTTTCGTTACCTGTGTCAAATAGAGAAGCTGTTACAAGCCATGTTATGTGTATTTGCAGTCTTCCCTTCATTCTCAAGCAAACTTAAGACATAAAAAATTAACTAAGACTTCTGAAAAATGACCCTTCTTACCTGCTAAATTCATCAAGTCCTCTGTACAGTTACATTAAATCTTACCTCCAGTGCCCTGACTTCTGAACATCGTCTTGCGAGCTGTCGAATAAGGGAGTGAGCTTCAGGTAGCAAAGGTTTTTCAAGGCATGCCAACAGTGCATAAAGCCATCTACCCTGTGAGGATTCAAATTACAAAGTTTTAATTCTGAGCATTTCCTTGAAGAGTCAAGCAATTCATGTTCTATAGAGCAGAACTGAAGTGTAGGTCTCAAAACATAACTGCATTCAAGTGCTATATGCAATAACTGAATTTTCAAAACCACATTGGACACTACATGGTTCTGTGTCTCTAGGTAAGACTCTTGTGAGCACTACTGGGTTTCCTGGCATTTTTTTGAATGCTGGCCAAGATATAAATTATTACAGCTGATGCTATTATAGTCTGAAGGAAGGATTATTTTAGTAATTATTTTAATATTTTAGTAGTATTACTTAGCTATTAATGTTTAACTTCACAATCTGTGAAAAAACATTCCTGAAGACTGTATGTATGAACTCAGATCTTTATGGAATTAGTGGTTAGATCTGCTTTAAGATTTGTACCACCTGTGAAAATATTTTTCTTTGAGTTTTACATCTCTGAATTCTACTGCATTCTTACAAACCTAATTTCTGGTACCAGTCTAACTTTATAATTTAATCACAGTGTCTAGTGGCCTTCATTCTGGGACCTAACCTAAAAGTCATTGTGCACATTCTCTGCAACATATATACTGGTTAAAAAGAAAACAGTCTTCTATAGGAAAGGACAGAACATGAAAGGTCTTTAAGTGACTGAAAAAAAAGAGTGAAACTATGATAAGCATCATGTAATTTTTCATTACTCTTTTGCTTTGTGGTACTGAAGGAGATGAGAAGACCACCAAGGTCTTCTGTAGATATGGAGCCATTACACAGCTGGTCAGTCTAGCTGTGGCCAAACTCCATGCCAATGTAGCCTGTCAGTCAGGAGTTCTTAGTAGGTTTGATTTTTCACTACGTGAATGCAGCTAAGTTTTCTGGTATATGCTTCATGTGGAAAGAATAAATGTGTCTTTGCCAGCACACTGTAATGAGCCTCCAAACTAAACTGGAGGCAAATAGTGTGCAGCACTGTGACAGAACCAAAGCTGCTGTGATCTCTCCTCTCCTAAACCTTGATGCTCATCGAGCCTCATGGCTTAAGTTAGTGGGGCAAGTAATACAAAGGGGAGGGAGTTTGGGTAGTATTTTTTATGTCTGTATCTGTTAACTTTTATAATTTTAGCCTTCCAAAAACAAATGTGAATACTTATTTTAGTATCTAATCAAGAAAGTTTTGAAAGTAACAATACGATACAACCATCTAGAGAACTCGTGAGAAAATTAAAATAGTTTAACAGAAGACTAAGAACAATTTATTCTTTGTTTAATGGTTCATGTGCAAGTAGTTAGAATAAATTAAAAATTACCAGTTCTGGAGTAAATTTTTTCTCTCCAAACCAGCTTATCAGGTATTCTAAGACACTGGTTACTGTTGCCTTCAAAAGAGGAACAGAAAGAGACAATATAGTATCTGCAATGTTTTGTTTTGCTGCTCTTCTACCTGAAGGATTTTACTATATAAAAAGTATTTCTACTCCGCATTATTTATTCCAGTTTGAAGTTACATGTAAGGGTAAAGTAAGTGTTAAAGTACCACTTTTGGAAAGGACTTTGTATGAAATGAATTAACTGTCTGTGTTAATGGAAAGTTATGGATAAGTAGCTACATATTAGGAAAGAAGCATCACACTGACTGGTTGCTTGTTTGGTTGTGTATAATGGTGGTAAGTGGGAAATGTAGTAAAGGAAAGAGAAATGTGGTTCTTCTAGCCTTGCAATGTACATAGAAATTCACAATCAAATGGAAGGAGCACACTTAAAACACTAAATGAGAAATATAAAAACATTGTAAAGCATCTATTGGGGTATTCAGCAAAAATTCAAACATTACATGTGCTATAGAGAAACTACAGCAACAAAACACTTTCAGAACTAGTCATGAAAAATCTTTGCTCCTAAAGTTGTTTGTAGCTGAATGTGAGACAACAAATACATATTTTCATTTTGCGTGTACAATTAATAGAATTTGTAATAACTGCCTACTCTAGGCAAAGAAAAATAGGTAAGCCTTCTGCAATAGAACATGAGAAATAATGATTTAGGCAATGTCATGATATGATTCTAAGAGGTAGTCTTACCTGATTCATCCTGCTTACAATACTTAGCAAAGGGGGAAACCCCACCTGAAAAAAGCAAGTTAGAAAATGCAAACATTATCACAAACATCTTTATTCTAATTTAGAACGTACTAAGATTTTAATTTGATGTTCAGACACTTGTAGTGATTTGAAAGTCTGTTCTGAGCTTTGAAATTTATTTTAAAAAGTATCTTCAAGAAAGTTGAAGGTCCAGTGAAGTATCAGAGCACCTTGCTTCTACTGTTACTTGTTAAAGTTTTATTCTTTCAAAATGATGTAGTAAAGAATATGTTTGTAGGGTATCACATATGAGGAGTGCAACCACATATCACTATGCAACAAAACACTAAAGCAGACTATGAAGAAAGCTTCTATTCTGTTCAGTGAGAGCAAAGTAATGACTTTAGCTGATAAGAGATAAAGGAACTCTTCAAATTTTGATTGAAGACTTAACTCCTGCTTCATTTAGTTTCTGCATAAAAAGAATATACACTGGGACTTTCTGAGCTTACCAGAGCCTACTTTCTATTTGGCACAAAGTGGTAATAAACATTAAGATTGTTTCTGGCAGTTAGTCTAGAAAATAGCTGCTGAAAATTAACTAGAAGTCCTATACTCACCTTCAAGTAATCAATTCCTAAATTTTCATTATCAGATAGTACATCTATTTCTGAGTATACTCTTTCCCCGAGGCAGAACTTCTTCCAGCCTTCTTCATCCTCTGATTTTGGCTAAAGTAAATAAAAAGAAATGAAAACTGTGTAATACTGTTATCTTGAAGACACTGGAGAAAAGGCTTAAATTGTTACATGCAACTATAAAGCAAGATTAACTGTGGATTCAATAACTGGGAAAACAAACCAGAGAGCACTGTTATGAATTCTACTCACCATAGTAACATTGCTGTCCAAATGTTGTGACCGCCAGTGATTCCTGCGCTTGTTCAGGCTCTGAGTAATTAAAACAAAGTCAAATCCCAGTTTAACTCTGCAGTTATTTTATCCTAGCCACAAGGGCTCTTCATTATTCTTAAAATGCATAAAAAGTATATTTTATGACTTTCTATATATCCAGTAGATATATAGCCAGCACAACTGGCTAAATATTTCCCATGCCTCTTAGCAGAAATGTAATTAAGAATTTCATGCTGGGATTTTGGACGTAATGTTAAAGCTGAAGGCATTTTGAAGTCTATTACATAAGCTTAAGCTGACACAATAAGCTTTAACAGTCTTCTAGACTTTTCTTGTTAGAACAATCTTAAGAAAAAACAGTTTGAGTTAATCCAAAAGCATGCATAAAGCCAATATCCTGTTTCCAACAGTGGTCTGTACCTCTATCAGAGGTCTACAGAACTGTATAAAAGAAGACAAGTGTGGTTTCTTATCACATTTCTACCTGGCAGGAATCCCGTGTAAGACAAATTGGCCTGCTTAACAGTTACTTGTAGAGAGCTGTAAATGTTCTGTAGCAGAAGGAATTTGTCTTCCACTCCAGTTGTTCCTGTAGCTGTATAAAAGAGCACTAAAAATGCTCTAAGTAACAGCAGCTGATGCAATGGTTGAACAAGTGAATTCTGATGCTCTTTCTTGGTTTTAAATACTTTTTAGGATAGTCTCATATTTCACAATGTTAATTCTGGCACAGATGAAATGACAAATGATTTGAGCATAAAAGAAATACCTATTCAGTGAATAAGCCTTTAGATGTCAGTCTCCTTAATTCTGCTAAAACTTTAGAGTACGCCTAATATTACAGGATACAATGTGATCCCTCGCATAAATAGGGGTAGCTCAGTTACTGTTTACAATGTAGATGCAGTAGTACAGATCTCCTTCACTTATGTGAAGACAAAAGGGGGACATGTTAGAATCCTAAATTTTCCTCCCTGAAACAAACATGGTACATGAGCTCATGCAGAGTTCAGTGCTAGAGCAGCTCCTAGCTGGTCACACCTCAGTACTTGAGGTACTCCTACAATGCATTATCATTGCACTGTAAACATGCTGTCTACAGCAGTGGAATCACAAATTACCTCCACCTATATTTTTATTATATTTTCAATTCACCCTTCTTGAACTGTGCATAGAGAATAGTAGAATCATAGATTTGGGTTGGAAGGGGCCTTCACAGGCCATCTAGTCCAACCCCTCTTCCATGGGCAGGGACATCTTCAACTAGCTCAGGCTCAGAACCCCATCCAACCTGACCTTTAGTGTTTTGAGGGATGGGACATCCAGCCCTCTCTGGGCAACCTGTGCCAGTGTTTCACCACCTTCACAGTAAAAAAAAATTCTTCCTTATAGCTAATTGAAATAAATCCTCCTTTAGTTTAAAACTTTAGCAAAGCTTAGCTGAACTTAGAACCTTTACCCTTTGAGGCTGCTTATTTTCTGTTCTTACTGTGTTATTTCAAGCAGGGTGCAAATCTATCAGGAAAGATGAAAGTCTGTGCTAACTCTACAAACTTACAAATATGTTTTACCAAATCAGTATGTCTCCTCATAATGGGTTGCCACCTCTGTCAACAGGTTTCTAAATGCACTTTATGAATCTCCTGATGGGTTAGAATCCATTTTGTTCTTAGTTAATATTAAGTTCTGCAGAACATTTCCTGCTAGCGCTATGTTTTAATATAACTGCATAACATCATAGGGGTTTTGTGCTTCCTCAACGATGCCTTTTCATTTAATCTAAATACGGACATATTTTTGTTGAAGGAGAATTTCTGAAACGCGACTCTCAAGAGTTTCATCAGAGGTTTAAAAGCCACACAGTATATGCTCAATTAGCTTTCAAGAACTTAAAACACTTGCTTTAAAGATCACAACACTTCTGTACTAGATATAAAGTTGTCCCCTGTAAAGCACAGATATATTCTACCTAGACCATGCAAGACCCCTCACAGATTATCTTGTACCTGACGAACAGCTGAGAAATTGGCCACTTGCTGCTGCTGCCACTTGAGCGTTGGAGAGTATCCTTCAGGAGCAGGCTGGCATCCAGAAATCTGAGAAAACACTGGCAATAATTATAATGTAAAGAGAGCTTTATAAGAAGAATCCTTAAGAACAAGGGAATCAGTAAATGTTTATTGTCAGGTCAACAATATCCTTGAACTCTTCATCTAAGAAAGGTAATTTCATGATGACATCCAAGGCTGAATTAAGATTTTGGTTTAGAGAGATTTTTTGTTTGACTCTTCTCATATGTGCATAAGAAGGAGAACTAAGTGTTCAAAACACATTGTCAAAGAATTACTTAAGGTCTTCCTTTCAGCAATTGTTCTGCTTTAATCTCCCTGCTCATAAAAAGCAGGATGCTGTTTCCTTATCTGGGACAGATACTATCAATCTTAGGCATTCTACCTGTCAAGATAGTAAGTTGAGGAAGACAGAAACCATCTAGAAAATTAAGTTTGATAGTTAAGTAGATATAACTACTTTAAAGATTAGCATGAAACGGTTATTAAACAAAATCTTTCTACAAGTGTTTAAGAATGTTACTACAAACAGATGAGACAGATGAAGAGAATGGCTACAGAAGTTACAAAGTCATATCAGTATTAGAAACTTTCTTTGAGAAATCTAGTAGTGAAATCTCAGATTATATCATTGTTATTGGAGAAAGGCAAACTATTTGAAAGTAGATTAAAAACCAAGCTGGCAGGGCAATGCAAGAACAGGAAAATCTGCTTCAACAGTAAGGAAAAGTTCCAATAAAATATTTCTTCCAAAAGGAAAGAAGTGGTGCTAGAATTTTATCTAACTTTAGTAAAGCTTAGCTGCACTTACTACCCTTATGCTAAATATAGACTTAAACCCAAAGACAGGTATGGATATGTTTTTCTTCTAAAATTTATGCAGACTTTATGATTAAATAATTGTAAGATTTAATGCAACATTTTATTTCCTCACACAGTAAAATAGTCAGCTGTGTATCAAATAGCATGGGGATTATCAATTTAATCAGTTAGAAATACTGCTGTTACCCAGCACCTGAGCAGGGGTTTCTTCAAACACAGATATTTAATTCTGTAGATGCTTGTAGAATCTAGCAGTGCTATTCAGTTATGCCAATGACTCCCCCAAAATAAAACAAACACTATAGTAACATCTCTCCCGGTATTTTCCCCCTCTCAAAATGTGTAAAAGCTCTCAAACTTACTGAAATGTTTACTGTCGGCTTCTTCTTCAATTTTCTGGGATCTATTTGTGCCACAACAACATCAGGACATTGAGCTGCTTCAATCCTACAAAATAGAATCAAGCGGGCTGCATTTTTTCTTTCATGTAACAGGTCGATATATACGGATGTCTTTGAAATACTCATAAAATCATGGGGGGACCAATCAAGATCACCGAGTCCAACTCCGTGCACACAACAGCCCAGAAATCACACCCTGTGCCCGAGGGCGCTGTCCAAATGTTTCTCGAACTCTGTCATGCCTGGTTCTGTGACCACTGCCCTGGGGAGCCTGTTCAGTGCTCAACCACCCTCTGGGTGAAGAACCTTTTCCTGATAGCCAGCCCAAACCTCTCCTGACATGGCTTCATGTCCCTTCCAGGAGTCGTGTCGCCGGTCACGAGAGGGAAGAGATCGGTGCCGGCCCCTGTTTTAAAGCAGGTGTTTAAACACCGGTGTGTAAAACACCGACAGTGCCGGCGAAGGGCAGCACGGCGCGGCCGCCCTGGTGCGCCCGAAGCCGGGCCCGGGCAGCACCGGCTGCCCCGCCCCGCTCGCGGAGAGGTGACGGGCCCGGCCCACCGCCCCGCCACTCACTGGACGCGCTTCAGATACTCCTGGGGCGTCCTGGGAGGCACGGTGGGATCGAAGTCCTCGGCCAGGTCGCAGTCGCCCACGGGCAGCAGCCGCGGCATCAGCTCCTCCAGGCCCGACTCCATGGCCGCGCCGCCCCGGCGGCAGAGCCCGCCCGGTTGCCGCGGCTCTCGCGAGAGCGGCGGGCGGGGACGGCCCGGCCCGGCCCCGGCAGCGCACCGGCCTCGGGCTGCCTGGGCCGCGCTCTGCTCCCGGCGTCTTGGTTGTCCTGGAAACCACCGGAGGGGAATAAAGGAACTGCGGCCGAAGAGCAGTGGCAGAAAAGGGGTTGCCAATTCACTGCCCATCAAACTAGGCCTATTTTTGTGGCGAATAGGTGTAAACCTTTAATAACTTCCTTTATTAGGCTCTGTGCCATTATTCTAATATGCAGTAGTTTTTGCCAAAAATTCTTTAAAGCTCACCCATTAGTACACTCTTATTTTACTTGTGAAAACCCAGTATTCGTAGTATTTGTCCCTTCCTTGAAATGCTTTCAGATCTGTGGTTAAAGTCAGTTATATAGAAGTTAATGATTATAAATAATTCTGGAAGGATCAATGCCTGAGCTGTTGCTGTATGAGTTTTTCTGAAGACTATAATGTGAAAGCATCCACATGTCAGAAAGCAAGGTAGCATTTGCACAAAGGGGCATTGTTTCCCAGGTAAGATAAAAAGTGGAAGGGTGATGCTGTAATAATTTACATTGTGTATTATGAAATTCCTGTTACACAAATGTCCATCAGTATCTCTTTGATTAGTTCTGCAATATTAGATCTAATATTTCAGAGTAGTTTGAGATACTTCTGACATAAGTTAAAAAAACCCCCAATGTTTTCTTTTTAATCCTGTGCAAGTCTGTATTTCAGCAGTTCTAAATAAACATCTGCCTTAACTCCTCCTCTCCAATGGCTTTTGTTTGTTTTGTTTCCAAAAGCACCTACGTGTACCAGGAAGTTTTTTTCCTGAAACCCAGATCTAACGTCCTAGTTGAGTATGCAACAATTGCAGTCACCACTAGAAATAAAACTTGCCTACTTAAGCCTACAGTGATAACTCTGGAAAGGCTGATGATCAAGACAAAATCTTTGGTGAGTCCACCTATATAAAGTTCTTTTATAATACTTTAGCAATATTCATAACTTATTTTTCCTATTTGTTGTAAAGTCCAGAACTATGAACTTAATAGTTCTTTCTGTTCATAGTCCAGAACTATGAACAGAGATACACACTTTAAATATACTTTCTGTCTTTAGATTACTTTTTCTGGAACTTTCCATTGATACTTGTTAAGCAAAGCAACATATATTTAATTATTGCAGATAGTCTTTCACAGGTAATAAAATTGTTCCTAACGTGTCTTACCAACAATGCTGATGCAATGGCTAGCAAATATGACTCAGTGGAGAAAGAGGAAAAAGAAATTGTAAATGTATATATTTCTTCTCACCTGCTTAGGCATAAAGGAAGAGTACTTTTCCCAAGAAAGGGTAAACTGCATTAATGGATATGCCTCATTGGCTAAAAAACCAAACCAAAATAAAGTCACACATAAATTCTGCATTATGAAAAATTTAAATGTTTTCAAATCTACATTCTAGATATGAATATGGAGAGCTAACAAAATATTTTCTTATAATGAGTAAATGAGTTTATATCTATTTTCTACTTTTCTTTCTCCTTGATTTTCTCTGTGGTTAGCAGCATCATAACAGCTGCATGACTTTTCTTTAAGTTTAGAGCATTGGACTGAGTTATTATGTAATGAAATTTAATTGTGCTGAAGATTAATTTAAAATACTGAATATATTTTATTTGTAGTTAACTTTCAGAGTAGTATACTTTGCTGTTTTCCCTTCTTGCCCTTTGAATGTCTTTAAATGTCACCTGCCTCTTTTTCTCTTATTTATAGAGTTCATCCTGCAGTTTAGACTTCAGGACTTGCATCTTTTTTAGGTAATCTTCTGAAAATGTTTCACAGGTTATTTGAATACTTTTGAAATTACAACACTGAGTAATTTTCTGTGCATCTGTTTGAAGTGTTGTAGGGTTTGGGGTCAGTCATTTTTTTCTTTTTTCTTTTGAGTTCAGAGTGAGGATGGTATATGTCATTGGCAAGCTCTTGCTTAATACTCCCACAAATGGCAGTGAGATTTGTGAACAAGAAAATTAAAAATCCCTCCCATAAATTATGCTGTTGCTTAACTGTTCATGTTTTTCATCTGAAGAGGACTGGTAAGCCATACTGGAGAGAGTAATGGCAAAGAAATTCTATCATAATCACATTTGACATAGAAAAAAAGAGGGTATAGTTGTTTTAGTAACTTGTATTTGCTTGATGGTCACAGAATGTTTTCCGAGTTGCAGTGAAGGAGGCAGGATATGGTAGCCAGTCAGCAGAATGCTTTTCAGTTCTCCCCCATGTCTGGATTAATTGCACTACGACATCTCAGGAAAGACAGAGGTTACTGTTCTGGTCCTTCATGACAGGCTTGTGAAAAACAATTCCCGAAACTGAAGAGTTACTGTTAACTTCAGTTTGTGGATAAAAAAGCTGACCACACTAACAAGATAAAGGACTGTTTCAGGCTTAAACCCCGAGAAATATAACTTCAATTTTTTTTTCCCCCCCAGGCACTCAGAAGAAACATCTAAATAATCTTCCAGATTAATAAATTGCCATAAGTACACATGGTGGAAGATGGGAATAAGCCCGGCTGTTTCGTTCCCGAGGAGTTCCGTGCCGGACGGAGCAGCGGCGGGCCGCAGGCAGCCCCGGGACCGCGGGGGAGCCGAGCGCTGCCGGCAGGGAGAGACGGCAAAACCGCCCCCGGTGATCGGGATGCCTTTTTACCTGAATGGATTTGGGATCGAGATGCAGACGACCGGCCTTCAGAAGACAGCCGAACAGGGTAGCGAACACACACACGCGAGCAGGAGCTGCCAAGGCGGCGAAGCGACAGTCGGAGCCGTGGGACGGCTGAAGCGGCCCCGCTGCCCGGGCCGGGCAGGCCGGGGGGCTGCCCCGGGGGCGGGCGAGCGGCGGGGCTCAGCCCGCCCCCGCTCTCTGCCCCTTGACGTGGCGCGGACTCTCCCATCAGCCATGTTGGTGCGTCGGCAGCGCCGGGGCGGCTGCGAGCGGCCGGGCGGGGAGAGCGAGCACAGCGGGAGCGGCGGCGGCGGCGGCCGGGACGCGGGTGAGCGAGCAGGGCAGCGCTGAGGGCAGCGCAGGGCGGGCGGAGTTGGGGTGCCGGGATGGGAGAGGGGGCGGCCCCTCTCTCTCTCCCCGTGCTGGGAGGCACGGGGGCACCCCGGCCCGCGGGGCCCCGCACGGCTGCCGGACCTGAAACGAGCGTGGTGGGAGCTCCCCGCGTCTCCTCCGTGGCACTGGGGGATCTCCGAGTGCCCAAAATTGCTCTCGGGGCCCGCGGCGGCCTGGGGGTCCGGGGCTGCCGCCGGCCGCTGGTCAGCGCTGCCCGCGGCCTCCCGGGCCGGGCTGGGCGAGCGCCCTTGCCGGGCGGCGGGGAGCGCCTGCCGGGCCGGGCCGGGCCGGGCCGGGGCTGGGCAAGCAGCCCCAGCAGCCCCCAGCTCGGCCGGGGCTGCCGCGCTCGGGCAGGGCCGGCGGGGCACGGCCCCTCCACGGGCGGGGGTAAAGGGCAGCACTCCGGCAGTGCCTGTGGTGCTCCTGTCCCGGAGCTCCGCTGTAGCTACGCCGCTGTGCCACTGACGAGGGTGCCTTCCAGTGTAGGTAAAACGGCGAGAAATACAGGCCCTGCTGCGTTTGATGATGCGTTGCTTTTTTAATTTAGGTGGGTTATCACATACCGTAGTTGTTTAAAAGTAAAGTTTTCAGTGAGAGGTCTGGGAGAGCAGATTTGGAGGATGACTGCGTTTGAGTGGTGAAAATGTTAGCAATTTGCTTTAGATAACTATTTAAACTATTGTGCTCATGTATTTTAGTTCTTTGGAACCAAAATAGGTTTGTATCTGGTATGTAATTTGGGCATAAGAAATGAATTGAGGGTTTATTATTAATCTCTTTTACCAGGTTGTTAGTGCCTAATAAACTGAGAGAATAGGTGTGTTGTAAGAAAAGTGTGCAGTGAACTGTACTCATTTAGTGGTAGTTAAACACATGGTGCTATGAGGGACTTCGACCTATCTATGCTGGAACTCTTACAGTGCTGTAGAGAAAAATGTTTTGATTTTGTATATTTGTGCAAGGTTTATTTTGGGGATATTCTGTATTGGGACATATTTGTCTGTGATGTGGAAACGTCTGTGTGTGGCTTCTTTTGTGACACACAGTTGAGGTTGTCAAGGTGTAGGTTTGCAAGGTATGTTTAGCTGTAGCAGTGGGAGGGAGGAAGCAAGCCAGAAAGGACTTCTGTTTTTTTCTGGGTATACTAATCGACAGCAAAGGTAAAGCAGTGGGAACTGTTGCTGTTCAGCTGGTCTGAAAATCCCTTCTCTGAGGTTTTCTGAGGCAGGCAGTGCATATTTTGTGGCATTCAGGTGTCTGAAATTTGGGGTGTAACCTGTAGGCCAGGAGGGTTTGCTGTTCCCATATAATGCAATACATCTCCACACCTAGCTCAGAAAATGTGTCTGCATAGCTGTAACAATGGTACTGAATGTAACTTGTCAGACCAAGAGTTCCATATTTGATGAATGATGAAATAGGTAAGCATTATTGCTCTTGAAGGGGAAGAAAAGGATAGAAGAAAAGGTAGAGATCTTGGTTATTAGCCACTTTTGCCTTCTGAATAGGAAATCCATACTTAATAGAAAATAACAGTATTTAACTCAGTAAATCCAACAAGTCCTTTATGTATCTATGTGTACGTGATTAGTCACTGCACACTGGTGTTTGTACATTGCCCTTTCAGGAGCAATAACTGAGTGGTAAAAGTAATACCCATGTACAGCCATTTCAAACATAGCTAGAGCAAAAAAAGGAGAAAACGCTTTGAAGTTCAGGGCAGACAGTGTGACACGTTGCAGTGTTTGGAGCTGGATTTTGTGAGTCTATAGTTGCTGCTAGTGAATGGCTGAAATAGCCTTAAGTTGCAATTTTCTCTGTCTTCTCAGGAAATAATTTTTAAATGGAGAGATTATTCAATTTGTGGTGATAGTGGAGATAGTTGTGTTGTGCAGATTCTTGCATTAATAGCCCATTTCTTCAGAGATAAAATACCTTCAACTTTTTTACAAAACATGGATGGATTTTGATTTATTAGGAGAGAAATTTCTTAAATTCTATACCCTCTTCAAATGCCACGCTGTTCTTTCCTCTCTTAACTGAGTTAATTTCTGTCTCTAATTTCTCTGTAGAATTATAACTTCCAGATAGTCTCTCTTTTGCTCAGTTTTGTCCCCCTCCTTTGCAGAAATTCGAGTAAAAGCAATGGTGGAAATGCTCTTATGCACAAAATCCCTCATGCTCCCTGTGTTGTAATTGCCATGATGTGTTTAGATAGGAACAGATTTGCTCCTAATATCAGTAAGACATGCCCATTAAAATATTGTCAGTTGATTATTTCTTAAGACTATTAACTGTGAAATGCAGCACTTCCCTTTGCTGTATGTATTTTGTTAGTCTGTTTTCTTAAAAGTTACAATCAGAACAAAAGTGTTGTTAGGCTATTATTTAAAATAACTTGACAAGTTTTTAGTTGTCATAGAAACTAAAGGTGCAATGTCATTATAATTTTGATAGAATTTCTGTAAGCCTCCTGTAATGTATGTAAGATCAGAACTAAGAATGTCAGTGTGCTTAGGAGAATTCCTGATTTAAATTCCAATTCAGGAGGGTTCCAGCATTTATAATATTCATTAACTTGTTTAAGTTAATGAATATAACATTAATAATAATATATATTATAATAGTTATTATAATACATTTTTAATATTCATTAACTTGTTTAATGAACATTTATAATGTTCATTAACTTGTTACAGTATAAATTGAGACCTAGGAGTATTTCTAGTTCCCTTTAGGTGGTTCATGTATGCTTTTACAGTAAATCCTTAATTATTAGGGAGTGTGAGTTTAGTTATCCTAATTCCTGGAAAAAACTGTGCTGTATATACTATAAAAGGTACTGTGAAGCATGCAGCAGATAGTCTGGAATAGTGTGTATATAGCTGAGGAGTTTGGGATTGGAGGGAGGGAGTTCACACGTACCTGTGGAGCTTTTCAGATGTGTCTGTGCTCCCCAGTTCTCCAGCTTCTGAGTAATCTTAGGAGAACGTTTTGAAAGTCTTAAGTCAATGGCCAAAATGGTAAATTTGAATTGTTGAAAACTGCTTCTTGGTACATAATACATTGGAATATGGCACTTGTATTTTTTACAAGGTTACGTCCTAGTATTGCTCTAGGAATGTACTCTTGTGGAATATCATGTTGTTAATCCTTTATGTTTGCATGTAGGCTGCATCATGTGATACAAAAAATATGGTTAGAAATGCTTAAAAAATTTTATACAGCAGTATTTTCTTTCCCCTTAGAATTCTGCACATTGCTTTTAGTATTTAAGAAGCTCTACTCAGTGTTTTATAGACTCTAACTCAGTTACAGTATTTGAATGTGTGACTGTTATTTCGTGTTTTCAGCATTTAGTAACTAAAAGTCTTTGCATGTCAACGTTCTGCTGACAGTTATCTTTTTATTTTAGTGTTAGAAGTTGACCATGACAACCTTCCTGGAATTTATCCAGCAGAATGAGGACAGAGATGGAGTTAGATTCAGCTGGAATGTTTGGCCTTCAAGTCGTCTTGAAGCTACAAGAATGGTAGTCCCGGTGGCTGCCCTCTTCACGCCACTGAAAGAACGGCCGGACTTGCCTCCTATTCAGTATGAGCCAGTGCTGTGCAGCAGGACCACGTGCCGAGCTGTTCTGAATCCCTTATGGTAACCTTAATGCATATTATTGTTCCAGTACTTTGCCTTAGAGTCTGGAGAACAGTGCTAGCTGAACTATGTGCAAGATCTGGTGTATAGAAGTTCAAGCACTCCTCACATCATTATACAGCACGGGCTTCCAAGTCTTAGAAGGTTCTGCACATAGATTTGCATATGTAACGTATTTACTGAAAACATAGCTTTCATTTAATGAGTTGTTTCAATCTACTTAGTATTGATTAGGTGTGTTATTTTTCTGCAACCATATATCTTGGGATTTAGTATACTCTTGCATTTTGCCTCTAGAAAATGACTTGGGTAAAAAGTTACAATACTCTATCTTTTGAACTGTTGGACCCTGATACAGTTTAATTTCCGAGTGAAATAAACTATGTTTATTACTGACATTAGTTCATCTGTGGGCTAAAGTAGGTTATCTTAGGTAGGTTTTAGTTAACATCAGAAGTAGGCATAAAAGAGGGTGGAAAGCTGTTTAAGCTTAAGGGTGGTATTGGCACAAGCTCAAATGATTGTGGACCAGTCATGGGTAAGTTTGGGTTGCAAGCAGAGGAAGTGTTTCATATGCATTCCTGTCATAGAAGTATGGAAAAGAAGCAGAATGATTTCTAGGTTGGAGTTTGATAGGCATGGGTCCTGACTGATAGAGATTAATCATGATGTCAGAGAACCTGTAGAACAAATTTAATGTTATGACTAGCTTGTCTCTGCTTGGGAGAAAAGACAGCTTCAGAGCAGATGGAAACTTGTGTTTCAGTATTAAGCAGCCACAGTGGCCAGTTATACTGGGAGTCAGTTGAAGTTAACTTTTTCAGAAGCATTATCTTTTATTGGGGGCTGGAAGAAAAACAATGAAAAGACAAAGTTGTAAAAGGTCAGAGAGATGCCAACATGACAGTGAACTGTCTACATTTTTCCTGTGTTGTATGTGCTAGTAATGACTGGATTTTTTTTCCTCTGAAAGGGTGATTAGAGGCTCAATCTGAGGAGACTTTAGAAGCCTGTGTGGCACTTTGGGCTAGGTAATTTGCAGCCTGTATAACTGGTAAAGACAATTAGATAGCAATAGATCTGTGTTTTGTTTACAGCATGCTGGGACTTACTTGAAGATTCAATGATATTTTAAAAATATTTTTGCTCTTGTAGACAGGAGAAGATGTAATAGCAAGAAGTGTACATTGAGAACTATTTCCCTTAAGATGTGATTAGGACTTTAAGACATCTCTGTGGTGTGAAGATAGAGCTTGCATTTTTTATTTTAACTGTCTGAATACTAATAAAAATGTAGGCAAAAGGAGGTAGACTCATCATTTGAAAGCAATGTTGTTTTTGTTACAGAGATAGCTGTCATGTTGGAACCTGTTTTTTTTAGGGCATAATGTATATTCAGGCTAGTCCCATACTCTGACAGCTAATAGATAGAGGCAGAAAAAGATAAAAATTCCAAGGTAGGAGAGTTAAAAAGATTTGCTAAAACCATTGAGAAAGGCTCTAATATATGTGCTGAGTCTGTATTTTTAAATTTCTTATTTACATCTTTTTCCTGAAGACCATTCTTTCTCCCTAAACTTAATAATTTTCCTGATACGTCATTACTTTCTGTTTGTATTGTAGGTATTTAGGAGAAAGTTTATTTGAAAGAACCTTTTTAAAATCAGTGTGTTTTTTAAAGTTTTAAAGACATGTATTCTAGGGACGGTGAAGGAAAATGAACTGTTCATGCTATGTAAACTTTTCCTGTTGTATTTTTATAGCCAAGTGGATTATCGAGCAAAACTCTGGGCTTGCAACTTTTGTTACCAGAGAAACCAGGTAAGAAAATGAAACATTCAGTATATAGAAAATACTTTTATGAGGTGAAATGAAAACCTTGATTTTTCTAATTACAGTTGCAAACTGAAATTGACAGCACGAGCAGAAGTGTGCAGTAGTATCTTCAGACATTACATTGAGATTTTTTCCATAACAGCAATAATGAATATCTGTTGAAAAAATCTGGGGTTTTTTTCCCTTTGTAGAAATTGTCATATTTTATTTACATTTAATTTCTCTGTTTTTATTTGCAGTTTCCTCCTACTTATGCTGGCATATCAGAAATGAATCAGCCAGCTGAACTTTTGCCTCAATTCTCCAGCATTGAATATGTAGTACAGGTAAAATCATTAAATAGAATATTGAACATGTATTGCCTTGCAATATACAAAAAGAATAAATTTCAATTTTGCTTCTTCACTCTATTTTAGTGACTGTGAGTATTTATGTGCTTGTTAGTAGATTGAACGTTGATGCCAACAGTTGGAAAAGGAAAATAATTAATAAGAGCATTAGGATGGCTTATAAGACTGGTTTAAAAAGAAAAAGAGAGTTTCTTTACAATGAGTTTAATTTGTGTTTGTGTCAGGAGGTTGCTTGCTGAAGTAATTTCAGTTCAGATTTTACTGCTCATTCACCTCTCATTAACCATTTGAATTCAAGTTTGTATTTGAATGATGAGTAGTTAGTTCTAGTGCTGTCTGGTTTACAGACAGCAGCTAATACATATTCAATTCAGGTGTTTGAATTTTAGTATTCATACTTTTTCAGGATAGAGGTTACTTGAATAGAAATAAAAAATGGACCTAAACCTGTAAATTGCAGACATTTGCAATTTCAAATTTTCCACCTCCAAATTAATTTTTGAGGATTAAAATTTTTAAGACCTCAGTGAGGCAAATTATAATCTGAATCTTCACTGAAGTAGTACAAATTTTAATGAAAGATAGAGTGAATACTGGACAGCATCTGTACTTTTTGCCAACTTTTGTAATGCGAAGTAGATGGAATGTTAGCTCATAGTACAGCAAAATTACTTTATATAGAATAAAAAGTACTGATTCTCTCTAGAGTAAAATTAGGACATGAAATGCCATGGACAGTCATCAGGCTATAATCTTTTATAACCGTGGAAAGTTTTAAGACTCTTATGTTCACTTGGAGCAATAAAAGCTCATTGGATATTAAAAGGTGTATATAATTGGCTCATGCTTCAGAATTACCTGATATCCTGAAAGGAGTTTTTTTTTCTTCTGTTGTAAGCATTTCCTTTTTGTTCACTTTGGAGGGGGGGTTTTGTTCTGGATCCTGATTGCTAATTGAGAGAGAGTTAAGTTCAATAGAACATTGACAGTACTGGTATGATTAAAACTAAAACTTTTACAAGATGTGTCTTACTTGTTCACTTTTGATCCTTTAAATATTGCAAGACTTGTTTTTCATATAATTCTAATTTTGTTTCTCAAAGCGTGGTCCTCAGATGCCATTGATATTTCTTTATGTTGTGGATACGTGCATGGAAGATGAAGACTTGCAAGCTCTGAAGGAATCCATGCAAATGTCCCTTAGTCTCCTGCCACCAACTGCATTAGTAGGTCTCATTACCTTTGGCCGAATGGTGCAAGTTCATGAGCTTGGCTGTGAAGGAATTTCCAAAAGTTACGTCTTCAGAGGAACAAAGGACCTCTCTGCAAAACAGCTTCAGGTAATGAACAGAAGCAAACAAAAAGAAATCAGTAAGATACTAATGGTGAAATAGTCTGTAAACAAATTTTGTAATAAAATCTTATTTATTTGACTGCAGGAAATGCTGGGGCTTACAAAAGTAGCTGTTGCACAAGTCGGTCGGGGTCCTCAAGTGCAGCAGCCACCACCTTCTAACAGGTGATCTACTTCAAATATCTTAAAACATGTACCTTGACTCCACTGATGTACTGGAAAACCTAGGTTTTATGACCATTAAAACAATAAACTGACATCCAACCTTCTTGGTCAGGCACAAATTTACTAGTAGACTGTTCTTTCCTACAGTTTGTACTGGGAAGAATTGACTCAATGGATAATAGTAATATTATCTGGATGATTTTTGGAAGTGCTCTGAGAGGCACATTATAGATACATAAATAAAAATAATGATTCTTTTGTTGATTGGTGTGCTGGAAACAGTTAATAGATACTTTAGTGCCCCTTAGGTGGATATGCAGTTGTGCCTTCCTTTTTTCTCTCTTCTATTCCTCTTCCCTCCCCTTTGGTCTCTCATTTGGGAATTGCAGGCTGGTGTTTGATTCTCCTGTGTATTTCACTGTGACGTAGAAGAAATTTTTGTTGTCTCTGCCCTCTAAAAATTAGCTGCATCTGTAGGCTGCTTGCAGCAGTACGAAAGAGATCTTACTATGTTAATTTTTCTCCTGATCTTTGATTGTCACTGAAGTAGGGAAATGCGTTTCTTTTTGAAATTCATAGGTCATCTGCTCTGTTCTTTTGACTAGGTAGGGTTCTTTTTGGATAGTGGTGGTATCTCTATGTCTGAGGTTTCATTTTTGCAAGGTCTTTGCTCAACTTCTTAAGCTGAGTGTGTAAGTAGTAATTCCAAAC